TGATTTCAGAAAGGAAGGGAGAGGGAGAGAGAGAGACACGTCAATGATGAGAATCATTGATTGGATGCCTCCTGCATGCCCCCTATTGAGGATCGAGCCCGCAACCCGGGCATATGCCCATGACTGGAATGGAACCTGGGACCTTTAGTCTGTAGGCTGACGCTCTAATCCACTGAGCCAAACCAGCTAGGGGGACAGGCTCTTTTAACTTAGAGTTAAAGTTTGGCTCTCTGGGCTGTGAGGGTGTGGATGGTTACAACAGGCAGCCACCGCTCCCTCACGGAGCCAGCACAGCACCTTCACCAGCGAGGGGCCACAGAACCTCTGGACATACCAGCTGAGGAGCCTGTCACCTGCGCCTCTGCTTCTGTAGGCAATTTGTAGAGGCTCCTAAAGAAGTTAGGCTCCTAACCTGAGAAATCACCCCACATTTCTGAGTTCCAGAATGTGCTCCAATGTGAATGTGCCCAGCTGTCCTCATGCAGCAACATACAGCCTTCTCCAGGGTCTACCCGACGCTCCGAATTTCTCACTAACTCCCTGGTGAGTATACCCAGCCAGGAGCCATGGTCAGTGTTTCCTCACAGAGATGGTGTTTGCACCATCCATCCTCTCACAGCACCTCCCTGTGACCAGGACACCTGGGCTGGGACCAGGGTCAGGGCTCAAGGCGGAGAACAAAGCCAAGCTCCCTGGCCCTGCAGAAACAATGGTGGGTTTTTTTTGATCAGCTCAGAATTCAGCTGCTGACTCATAAGCTCTTTGCCACACAGCTCAGTCATCAACTCCCCAGAGGTTTGTCTTTTGCATCTGGGTCAGACTGGGTGCTGAGTTTTCCCACAAAATCTCTTCTACTCGGCTGGAGGTTCTCCTGGCCCACCTTCGTCAGAATCATCTAGGGGCCACGGAAGGCAGGTCCCAGGGCCCCACCCAGACCTGCTGAGAGAGGCTAAGGAGATGGGAGCACTTTGGATAAGCAACTCTAGTGTTCCTGCTGGTGGAGAGATGTGGAGGGGGACAGAGGGAGAAACTCCCTTCCGGACCTCCCTTCCCATTTCCCCCCCTAGTCAAGCTCCACGTCCCATCCTTCCCATCTCCCTCCTCCATGGCCCTATGGGGGAGTGTGGTGAGGGTGGCCCAGGCTGCGGGCTAGAGGGCTCTGGCTCGGCCAGGCTCTGCCCAGGACCCAAAGAGAGAGTAACAGCTCATGGCCAGGGGCATGTTGAACAAAGATGGACAGAACCTTCAGGCCCCTCTCAGGAAGGACCTGAAGTCCCTCACAGAACAAGGCAGAAAATTCTGCATCAGCCATGTGTGTGTCTGTGTTTACAACTGTGTCCATGTGGGAGAAGACGTCAGCGCACAGAACTGTAGTATCTGCCTATTCATACACATGTGTACACACACGCGCGTTGCTATGATGTGGCTCTGCAGTGACCAGCTGTGGGCAAATGACCTACATCCCAGTGTCCCCATTTGTACAGTGGGGCACAGTGGGACCACACACAGTGCCTACCTCACAGCAACACTGCGTGGGTTTGAGACAGCCCTCCAGGGCCCGGAGCACAGGGCTGTCGAGTGGAATGAGCACTCGAGCATTACTGAGTATAGTATTTACACAATGTTAGGGATGCTGTGCAAAATACATTTGTGTTCCCTGTGTTTATGTTTATGTGGAGTAATAATAGCAGCTGTTTATTGAGTGTTTATGCACCAGACACTTGGTACATATGGAGGTGTATGCATATGAGAATGCTTGTATGTTCAGATGTACTTGTGTGTACACCCACATTTTTTCCCCAAAGAAAACTGAAAATAAAAAAGACTGTAAGGATCAAATATGCTGGGAGTTACTTTCTCTTTCTCTCCCCAGTTCCTGGGATCTTGATTATGAAATATTATAGAAATCACGAACCCTCCAACACTCCCTGGGTCTCTAGAGAAGCCACTCTCCTTCCTGGACACCCTCTCTCCCCCAGGACCTGCACCCACAGGGAGAGGGAGGCAGGCAGACAGCTGGGGAAGCCCAGACCACTGTCTCCCATCCTCTTTGGCTCCCCACCTCTGTGCACTTAGCATTTATATAGCTCTCTGCAATCAGTGGGCAGTTCATTGGCACAAAGCTCAGAGCCGAGAGAAGAATATTTCAGGCTCCCAAGGGCCAGGAGGTTAAGTGTCGCAATCAAGTCTGGCTCCGCCAGTGGATGACCTTGATCATGACCTTGGGAAAGTGTGAACTTCCGTTTCTCTACCTCCTGAAGCAAAAAGGAAACCTCTGTGCAATTTGGACATGCTTTCCTCTAACCATTCTCTGGTTCTGAGTTCTGAGGTATTTTGCTGAAAAGCCAACAAAAAAATCTGAACAACATAAGAAGGCCATGCATCTGTGTCCAGGACCCCAGAGGACCCAGCAGACCAACTCCCAGCTGTGTTCCAGGAGGCAGCAAGGGCACAACACCTCCCCATTGGCCTCACCACCCCTGTTTAGCATGTGGTAAGTTGGGGCACCAAGAGAACACAGGAGGCCACTGTGGGTTTGTGGAAGCTGGGCTGGGGCCTAGGACCTCGGCCAGCACTGCAGCCATCCTGCTGCCGCTGTGGCCCACTTACTCCAGAATGCCCAATGTCCTCCTTCCAACTCTGTGAGCGGCCCTGTCCTCCCTGGGGCCCCCTGAGGGCTGCAGTGATTGGCCCAGGGCCTGTCCCCAAATAGTGGGCTGGAAGCAACCTGCCTGCCCACCCAGCCCAGCATCACGCCCATGCCAAGCTTTCCGGTGTCTCTTTTCCCTTTCTGCTCTCTGAGACCTCTCTGTCACCCACCTCTCTGTCATCACAGACCAGGGGGTTCTCTGTTAGAACCTCTCCCATCCTCTCCCATTCAGAGAGCTCACTGAGGCAATGAAACATGACTTTCTCACAACCCTCTCTGATGCAGACCAGCCTCTGCCCACAGGGTAACACCAAGGCTGGGCTATAAAGTGTTCAGTTGCTAATTTTAACTCAAACTTTGATCAGGGGGTGTGCTAGGAGCCCATCACTGCCATTCCTTATTGCATTGGTACCGCCCACGGGGCCTGGGTCACTGCCCTAAGGAGACCCAGCCCCTATCTGTCAGGGTCGCTGAGCTTCCCTTAGGGCCCTTGTTCCCAGGAGGCTCTGGTTTCACCCCCACATTCAGGGAGTTCCCTGGGACCCCCAGAGGGCTCATTCATGGAGTCAGGCCTTAGCTAGGGAAATGCTGAGGTTAATCTGAGCATAATCTGCTTCCAATTCTGGCAGAGCCGCTGGGAAATGTTCTAGTCCCCCAGGATGGACGGGGTTTTGACCCAGGGGCTTCTGGGACCAACTCAGGCTGTCATCTGGGTTACGCTGGCCTATTGAACCGAGTTAGCAGAAGCTCGGGGGCCCAGCCTTGTGACATCTGGGGAACTGAAGACTCATCAGAGGCCGCAGACTCTGCCCTCCCGCCTGACACCTCTGAGGCCTGGATCTCTGGGGCAGCTTCCCCGGGGCACGAGGCGGTTTTCTTTGTGGTCCGAAATCCCCAGCTGCCTTCCGCTGAGTCAGACGTGGGGTTCAGGCTCTCTCCCCTCAGGGGCTTGCTTATTTGGGGGAGAACCACTTGAGCCAAAACCTTGGGGCTGTCTGCTTAGCCTCAGGATTCAGGAGGAAACAGGAGGTGTCTAATATCCCCTTTGCTTGCAGGTTTAATCTGGGGCACTGCAGAAACCTGAAAGCCAGGCCGGCTGCCAGGGGAGCTGTGGTCTGGGGTTTCCGAGGTGGGGAAATCAGTGGTCAGTTCAGTCCTGTAACGCTGAGTCACCTTGGGCAAGCATGCGGGCCTCTCTGAGGGCCACTGACACTAAATGGCTTCCTGTAGGGAGAGTGGAGTGCTCCCCCAAAATGCTTTGCTTTGCATCACATTTCCAATCACACTCCCCATGGAAGGGATGAGGAGGATGCATACAGGCCGTGTGACACAAGAGGAGATCCTGAATCCAAGCCCGGCCAGCCACTCACTAGCTGTAGCTGTATGATATACATGTCACTTACCCTCTAGGCTGGGGCCAGGGGGGGGAGGGGATCTCCAAGGCACACGGAGCTGCAGCCCCTTCTAAGGCTGCCTGTGCATTTACTCTTGCAGTTATTAGGTTTAATTCTTAAAGAGGGTCCCCCAATTGTATAACTCTCAGCCCCATAAGCCTAGACCTGCCCCTGCTTCTGGGCCTTCAGTTGCTCTTTTGTACAGTGAAAATGTCACAAGTCTCCAAGTTCAATCCTTGTCTCTGAGCTTCTGGGTGCATAGCCCTGATGGGAAGGCCCCGCCGGGGAGGAGGTGACAGCAGGAGTGATGCTTGGAGAGGGTTCAGTGTGTGGTGCCGAGGAATCAGGAGGCGGCCGAGCGTGGACCTGGTGTGGATTTCCTCAGGGGGTAGGGTTTGTGCGGACCGGAGCAACACACCCTCCAGCAGCCCCTGTGGGTGCATGTCTGTCTCAGAAGCCTCCTGTGCGGGGACACAGCCTCAGTGCTGGTGTGAAGGCAGTGGGGCCTTTGTGGCTCACACGAGGCACTTGGCTCAGCCCTGGCAGGAAGGCGGGGCCCAGGGTCCCCAGAGCTCCTTCACGGACATGCCAGTCGCTACCCATGAGCAGCCCCATGGCTGGTCCAAATCGCCTCCCCTCAGCCCCTGTCTTGGGCAGAGCACTCTTCTGGCCACACAGGACCACAGCTCTGGCAGGCACCGGTAACCTGGAGCCCAGCCCTTGCTGGGTGGTGGGCAGGGTGGGGAGAAGCTGAGCAGTTTGGGGGTTGTCTGGGGAAGCCCCGCAGAGCTGAGCGGATCTGGCTCTGGACGAGACAAGGATGGGGGAGGAGGGTGGATCCGCGGGCAGGGCTGGCACTCACAGAGGTGTTCTGGCACTGCACGCTGGAGCTGTTGAAGCGCAGGGCGGGCACCCTCTGCTCGCTGCCTTGGATGTTGAGGACGCACTCATACCCGCGCTGCCCGGACTGCGGCTGTGGCAGGTTCTTGGCCTTCAGCGTGATGGGCTTGATCACCTCCACGGGCACCAGGATCTTGTCCACTCGCAGCAGCTGGGGGCAGTCCTGGGGACAGAGAGCACGGCTCAGGCAGGAGCAGGAAGCCAAAGGTGCCAAAGGCTCCTATCTGGAGCCTCTCCAGACCTAACCCGCATGTTCGCCCCATTCCTCCCTCCCACAAACATACTCAGAACGGTCCTGGGCACAAGTGCCCACCCCAGCCTCTGCAGGAGAAAAGGGGACTGAGAGATCCCGGTCCCGGAGCTACCATTTCGAGGCCACTTCTCCCCGAGGCTGTCCCTGCCCTCCAGGTTCCGTTTAAATGCCCTCCAGACTCTGACCTCCCGGAGGCCTCCTCGGGCACCCCTCCTATCCAGCAGACACAATGCGGCTGGCTGGGTGTCCCTTCGCACGTTGGGCTGCCGAACCCTTGCTCAGTCTCAGGCTACCAAGAGGGACCACGTGGGCAGATCAGAGTGAAGCAACACCCTGGCTGCGGCTCTGGAATGGGAGCCTAGGCCAGAGCAGGAGGGTCCGGCAGAGCCTTCCATTCATGGGCTGAGCCTGGCATTTGGGATGTTCTGGAATGGGCCCCAAGACCCTTTAAATCCAAAACCTTCGGACATAACTCTGGGGTGCCCTGAGCCCAGGGAAACACCCCTCAGAGCAGATACACGCTGAGCAGATGCCAGCAATGGGCATGCTCATCCTGGAGCTGAGCTAGCCCCGAGGATCTCTGGGGATGGAGACTGGATCACTGGCCCGTGTCCCTGGGGCAGTCAGCTCTGCCCAGGGAGGGCTGGGAGAGAATGGGGTCCATAAAGCAAATGTGATGCTCTGCCCAGCTGAGAGGCGGAAGCTGGCTTGTTTCTGGGTTCTCAGAGCTGGGGGGAAGAAGTCAGTATTCCTGGCTGCATGGTATGGGCTAGAGTGAGGGTTTCTGTAAACACCAGCAAGGCTGGGCTCCCTGTGTCAGGCAAGTCCACCATTCCCTGATTCCTATTGCTGTGGCACTTTTGGGGCAAGTTGGCCATCAAAAGCGTGGCACACACATCTCAGCAGAGGCTGCTGGCCCCCACCCCGGCACCTTCCCCAGCAGAGAGGCAGAGGAGGCTGTGGGGGAGGGCAGGCGGGAGGCCATCAGGCAACTTGGCAGCTGTCCTTCCTGGGTCTGAAAGCACATGTGAGCCCCTCTGTCATTGAAAGTCGGGGTGAGAAGACCTCAGGGCCTGCTGAGATGAGCTATGGAACCCTAAGCAGAGCCCATCCCCACTCTGAGACACGATTTCCCTATCTGTCGACTGGAGGGAACCCAAGGACCCATTCAGCTCTAGCCAGTCCTGATGCCATGATTGGATTGGTCTCAGCAGTCCTTCCTGATCACCCTGCAGCCTGGCTTCAGGGGACTAAGGCCCAGGGCCATTAAACTGATTCCCCTCCCCGCCTCCAGACTGCCCTCACCTTTATCCTGAAGAGCAGCTAGGAGAGGGGCAGATCTAGCAATCATTCCTGGGTGTGCGCCCAAAAGAGCTGAGAGCGGGGACTCTAACTGGCAACCCCATGCTCAGAGCAGCATTATCCACAATAGCCAAAAGGGGGGAGCAGCCCACCTGCCCATCAGTGGATGAGGGTGAACAAAATGTGATGACTAATATTATGGAATATTATTTCACCTTAAAAAGGAAGGGAATTTTAACACACGCTACAACATGGCTGAACCTTGAAAACATTATGCTAAGTGAAACAAGTCAGTCACAGTAGGACAAATACTATGCAATTCCACCCATGTGAGCTCCCTAGAGTTCTTAAATTCACAGACACAGAAAATAGAATGGTGGGTTCTGGGGGATGGGGAAATGGAGAGTTCTTGTTTAATAGGTACAGAGTTCAGTTGGGGAAGGTGAACAAGTTCTGGAGATGGATGGTGAATAACAATGTGAATGCACCTAATGGCACTAAACTGCACCCTTAAAATTGGCGGAGATGGTAAATTTGTCATGTACATTTTACCACAATTAAAGAGAAGCAGCAGGGAGGCAGGCATTGGGGGGAGGGGGCGGGCTGAACCAGCACCAGGCCCTGAGGCTCTGGTGTGAATGGGTCCCAGAGACTTTGAGGCCCACATGCGGAGAGAGTCTTAGTAGCTCCATCCTGTGCCCCTGTCTCAACTGCCATCACCACCCGTCCCCCAGCCAGATGAGAGTGCAGGGCCCGGAAGACAAGAGCAAGTTTGTGAAAAGGATGACGCTCAGGACTGAAACAGGGCTTGTTGGAGAATCAGGAGAGACAATCTCTTGAGCTGAGGGTCCAGGCCAGTCCTGACTCCCCTCTTCACTCTACTCCTGGGCAGCCCTCCTTCCCTAGAGCATGTGGGAGCCTGACCTTCCTCCTGCTCCATCCACATCTGCATGGGGGAGTCTTTGGCTGCGCCTGGAGCCAGAGCAGGAGTGTTGGACTCGCACCTCCATGTCCCACAGCTAAATGCTGCTGCTCGTGAATGGCGCACTGAGGGTGTCTAGACCCTGACAGTCTTCTGAAGAACCAACCTAATGGATCCCTCTACTTTGCAAAGGAGAAACTGAGGCAGGGAGAGGAAAAATAATGGCTCAGTGTCAGCAGATGTGCTGGCAGCTAACAAACTCAGATGCCAATCCACCCAGCTTTCCTCCCCTTAATGAAAGAGGTCAGTTCCTACCAGTGGGCGGGAGCACCTCAGGATGGGGTGGTGGGCCAGCAAGGATCTCCCTGAGACCAGCAGGACTGGGGAGCTTGGAGGTGGCCTGGAACCTTGCCGGGGCGCACTGATTCTAGTCCAGGAGACAAGATGAAGCAGTAGCTCTCTCCCCCTGTGAGACTCTCACTGAGGCTTGTTATGAGTTCTCTAATGAGTCCTGATTGTCAGTGGCCCCATAAAGCCTTAGTTTGCATATAAAAAGGTTGGCAGCTCTGAGAGTAAGTTCATTAATAATAATTGGAGAGGCTCAGGGCTGGGCAGGGCCCATTTTCCTCTGGCGGCACTGCTGATTGACCCTGGAATCCCTCCTAATTGAAATGTAACATGGCAAGTTTTTCCTAGGCAACAGGCATGAAGGGACAGCTGCCCCTTCCTCCCACTCCAGCTCCCTGATCCTGCCCTGCCTCATGCTGAGATCCCAGGACAGACCACCCCTAGGTCTAGTGGGGGTTGGTTGGGGCTAGAGCTGGCTTGTCTTTGGAATTGATGGGGGTTGAGGTGACATGGAAGGGAAAGGTCACTTACAAATCACTTATTTCTCCTGGGAATTTCAGAGAAACCCATGTTTCCCCTCATCTCCTGTCTGAAGCCCACTGTCGGGGAGCTCAGGTCGGCCACCCCTTGTCCTCACCTTGGAGCTTCCTTAACTAGAAAGAGCCAAGTTGGGAAATCATGTACCTTTGAGGACAAATCTGTCTCCCTCCTGCTATTGTCAGAGTTAATCATCGCTTGCCTTAAGGAGCAAGGGGATTAACCACTCCTCTTCCAAAGGGCACTGGGGGAGTCCGTGAACTGCCATATATAAGTGGCTGGCACAGAGTGAGCAAGCAGTCAACAAGAATTTGTTCCTTCCTCATCTTTGCCCCTCAGTTCAGGCTGCACCTTGGCCCTCACCAACTCTCTTTTCCCACCACATTTCTGAAGGCTCCATCTCCCCTGCTCCAGCCTGTGTGTTTCCCACACACACCCCATGCTCCTGCTACCCAGCTTATTGGATCTGCAGCGGAGTGTGACCATTTCAACAGCTCCAAGGGCCCCAAACACAAGGGGGACAGGTAGGGAGGTCCAGTTCTGTCCACTGCTCTCCTAACAGGAGGTGACACCCTGAAGCTGCATGTTTTACATGCTCTGAGGCATACCTCCACCAGGCAACCATGTGGACTTACGCAAGTCCCTTAAACCCCGTGGGGCAGGTTTGGATTGCATGATTTTTCTGGTCCCAGTTCTATTAATAACCCAATAGATGGTCTGGGACAATCAGTTTTCCCATCTCTAAAATGGGGATAATGGTGCCTGCTGCACTAGCTCAAAATGTGGTTTTCAAAATACTGACCAACTGAATGCATGCTGGAGGGACTGGGGACTTGTGGGGGCAGGAGGGCCTCCTGGAAGTGGCTATTTACCTACCAGGAGGGAAGTATTTTAATATTATAGCAACTGGTATATTGCAACTGGTACCATGATACAGTGACTCTGGTAGACAGAGTATGGTGCTGTTATGATTCCAGTGAACATGGTTAACATGCTACAAGGGGTATAAGGATTCAGTCCAGTGTGCATTCTGCCACCTCCATCCCCTGACACATATGTTCCCATGTGCTCTCTTGTTTCATAGCACAACACATATGATCCCCCCCCCGCCCCCCGTGTTCATGATAAAGAAACTCAGGACATCAGTTACCTACTCTGTTCACACAATGACAGTGAACAAAAGCACTTACACCTGCTCATCTGACTTTCGTCCCAGATGATAATCCAGTCCCCACCTGGAATTCCTCAAACATACTTCCCTTCTCTTTTCAAGAAAGATGTTTCTCTGAACTATCCTTTGAAAAGGCCAGCTCCCTCTCAGAGGGTGGGAAATACCTGCATTTGGCAAGATGATTTGGAGACGAACGCATGCGTGAGACCCAGATTCCCTCAGAGGCTGTTTTGCCTGTGGCTACATTCTGCAGTTGGACTGGGGGTGGGAGTGGCAGTGGCTTGAGGCACAAGGAAACCTTCAATGTCTTAGCTTGCAGGAGGCGGCTCTGGTGGGCTCCAGGTCGCCTGTCCAGCCCCGTGCATATTGCGGTCTCCACTGCTAACTGAGAAGGAACACCAGGCCAAAGTACAAAAGCAAAAAGGATGCTTCCCAGTCTACCATGTCCAGCATGTCAATGGCTGCTTTACACGAGGTCTCATTGCATATTTAAATAATTGAACAAGGACATAAAGACTGCTGCTGAGCTGGGAGGGAAAAGGCTGCCTTCAGGGCTGGTGCTGCCTGTGGAGGGGATGGCAGGCTATGGATTTACAGCCCCCGGTGTGGTTACAAGATAGGGGCTCTAATTCTCCTGGTTGTTGTTACAGCAGGATTGGGGGACTGTGGTGCTGTGGGGATGGGGAGAGCTGGGCTGGGACAGCATCTAAGGGCAGCTAAACAATAAGCGATTTGTAGGTCACCTTTCCCTTCCATGTCATCTCAACCCCCATCAATTCCAAAGACAAGCCAGTTCTAGCCCCAGCCAACACCCAAAATTTACATTTCTCAGACCCGTGGTGCCCAATACAAAAATGTAACGCACCATATATTTTCTTGCTATTCCCCAAGTTCATAACGCCATTAGCATGATCTACGATGGGCCAGTTTATGGAGAAAGGAAAGTAATAATACAGAAAGGAAATACCCATAACCTTAACGGGGGAGGGGCAGACGAGATTGATGGAAAGTGCAATTGTCTGGAGAAATGGCAACCCAGTAATGGAATACCTGGAGTGGGGGCTGTGCACGGATCGGATGCAAGTTCTTTAGCTGGGTTTGGCTGTGTTTTTCTCAAAAGAGGGTGAAGGGCATGGCAAAGTGGTTTTGTGCCTTTGGGTTGGGTCCCAGGAATGGCTCCTCTGCAAGGACTCCCCTGAGTCCCGTGGGGAGGTGAGTGCCTTTGGCCGCCCTGAGCGAATGGGGCTCATCTCAGCACCAGGAGCGAGCCGTAGCCCAGGGGTTGGCATTGTCGCCTTGCCAGCTCTTCAGTCCCGGAGGGGACTGGCCCCTGGGTTCGGCAGGTTTTATGATATCCGTTCTGGATAACAGATGTCCTCTCAGGGGCAGTGGGGTGGTCAGGGAGGTTGGGAGAGCCTTTCAAGCACAGCTTTGGAAATCAAATAGAATTCATTTAGCCTCTTCTGATCGTACAGCTGTTCTCTGGAGTAAACTCTGCTTGAACTTCAAGAAGAGAGGGGCTACGGGAATCTTCTCAGCCCGGGCCCCATGGGCCAGATGTGCTCTGCCTTTCTGGCAAAGACCATCCAGCTGCAGCTCACTCTGCTTTTCAGTTTAGGTGAGAAATAACAGTAAGCGAGTCCACTGAGGACACATTTTTATCAATGAATTTGCTTTTCCGTGGATGCTCACCTTTGCTTCCTACAGATCACTGCTATTAAGTGTGTGGGCCTGATGGGGTGTTCAGCTTCAGCAGGTGGAGGGGCCTGGGAATGTCAAAGCCATTTGGGGACCAGTGACTCCTCCCATTAGGTCAGCAGTTCTCAACTCCTTTGGCGGTAGAACGACCCTTTCAGAGGGGTCGCCTAAGACCATCCTGCATATCAGATATTTACATTACGATTCATAACATTAGCAACATTACAGTTATGAAGTAGCAGTGAAAATAATTTTATGGTTGGGTCACAACATGAGGAACTGTATTTAAAAGGCCAGAAGATTGAGAACCACTGCATTAGGTAGAGGGGAGGGCAGGGTCTGGTCATGGCTGCCCAGTGAAAGGCCATTCCATGGGCAGCAAGGAGTTTCAGCAGATACTGGGGAACAGGACTGAGAGCAAGAAGACCCTCTCATCCACCTCAGTTCTCCCTCGCCTTCCTCTCCCTCCTCTCTGGTGCCCAGGATCTTGCGGCTGATCTAAAGACCCAGGGTGGTTATCACAATGCCATCATTAGTTGAAACACAATCATTCCTTTTCACTGGAATACAGTTACTACAAAGGACATATGTTACTGGTCATTCTACTAATCATTGTAATTATGCTAGAATACATGCCATTAATATAATAACAACAATGATTGACCAATTGTCTGTTCCAGACCCATAACTTCACCTGAATGCACTCTTTGTTCAGAAAATAATAAAGGTAATTCAACATCCCCGGTGACAGTCAACAAAGCCTGTGTTGGAACTGGAAGATGCACAGACGAAAGCCTTCTGGGAGTTCAGGATGGGGCTGGGTAGATGAAAAGGCACCTGGCAGCATCCCCGATGGCCAACAAAAGGACCCTGTCTGGATCCCCACACTCCGAACTTAAAAGGAAATGAACACCCAGGCACTTCCACAGGAACCACTGGACTTGGGTCTCACTTTCACCCAGGAGGGTAGTCTGCACCTGGAGGGCCCAGTGGCTGTAGGCCTGAGGCTGACTGAGTCCCTGTTGGTAGCACTGGGAGACCTACACCTGCACTGGAATGCTCACCCAATAAGGCCACTTTGTGGGCATGGATTTCTCTTAGATGCTTTCCAGCTAATTCCCATCTACTATTATAGATCCTGTGACCAGTGGCTCTTTGTCTAAATACAGATTTGCAGGTCTCTTATATACCTCTAAGCCTCCCACATGCCTTGCATGTGGGAAATGCTCGGGAGCTGGGTAATGAAGGATGAATGGTGTTGCCCAGCAAGGGCTCAGAGTGCCACGCTGTGAGCAAGCTCTCCCCCCGGCTGCGGAGCAGAGACACTTGTATCAGGCGCTTCCACAGAATCACCTGTCAAATGTGTGATTTTCTTTGTTAACTCTTATTCTGGCTATGATTTCTTCCCAGAAAAAAAAAAAAAGGAAAACAAAACTACAACATAAGAAAAAATTCACCATATTTCCAAGCTTTCTTTTAAGCTTGAGGATAATAACCTCCTTCCACTAACCCAAAATGGCTAGATGAGTCAAAAGTCTACAGGTATTTATTAACTTTTTTCCCTTTGGTGCATTCTCTAGGAAGATGCTGCTCCAATGACCATCATGAGGTGGTCAACGCGGGCTTCTCCTCTGTTATGTTCAAAATGGTCCCAGTACTGAGCTGGATAGAAGGCAGCCTGCAAGCCTGGACTAGAAGCACAGCCCTAAAATTTCCTTCTCTGAGCATAAATATCCAATAAAAAGAGGAGCCAAAGTCAATGTCATTCAATAATGTGTAAGGGAGGCATGGCCATTCCAAGTGTGCTGGAGCCTCTCGCTGCAGGGGCCTGCCAGGCTCACCATAAACGGCTCGTGTGAAATGGGAAGAGCTAAAGGTCGACCTGGTAGGTCACTCCATCTCCACACACCCTCCCTCCCCCATGGCCATGTGCCTCAGGCCTCTCCCTCTCCTGGGGGTCCTGGCACCAAGTTCTCTGAATCCCCAGCAGCCTTTGCCAGTCTCAAGTACATATGGGGCGGTGTGCCACCTGAATCCTTGAAGAGTCGTTCTTTTGTAGGGATCCTTGCATTGCCCTGGGAAACATGGTGGCTCTGTTTTATTCTCCTCTAGTTCTTCTTTCCTTTCTGAGCAGCAGATGCAAGTTCTTTTTATATATTTAAAAGAAACTTGGGACGAGAGCAGCAAATGAGAAAGAACAAGCAGAGATTTGAAAACCTCCTTCAGAGTAATTACATGATTAGGGGCCTTTGAAATCTGCCAGATAGCTCAAATGCCTCTGCTTTCATTTTCCTCCTGGGCCTCTCCACAGGGGAAACCTGTGCCAGGTACACCAGTCTGGAAGTGGAGAGAGGCGGAAACCTGTGTCTCCGCTCCCATCCAGTAACTTGCAGGTTTCTGACCAAAATAAGAGGTTGCTACCTAGGTTCTCAGCGCCTGGCCCTGGTGGGTGAACCAACCCTTTGCTCCTGGCCCCACGCCCTGAGATAAAGGCCCAGGATCAAGGACACAACCCAGCTTTTTATCAGGGTCTTCATGCCAAGGGTGGGCCTGTTGGCTGTTAACCCATATCTGTCCTATTAGCTTTAGATCCATTTAGTCTTAGGTAAAGAAGAGCAGAAAATTGACACAAACATTCGATTCACACCCTGCTTAAAGCCAAGATGTACCCTCTTTCCTCCTTTTCTCTATAAAGGGACAACCTTTGCCTGGGTCTCTTTTCTGGATTAGGAATCCAGAGCAACCATTGCCAGCCACAGACAAACTCCATTGTATGGGGGGCGTGGAGGGTGGAGGGGAGGGACAGGCTTATGTCTGGGGGCTCCCACAACCCCTTCTTCTGTGTATCTATGCGTATTCTAAATCACAGCATCCTAAAGCAGCCTCTCTGTTCAGAACCACCGGCCCAGTGGCGGGAGTCACACAAGCACCATCCATTCGAACAATGGCAGACTTTTGCAAAGTGTCTTTATACTTGTTATCTTTGAGGTCCTTGCTCACACACTTACATTCTAAGAAAGGTAACAGCAGAGGCACAGAGTATTTCTATTGCAGTGATGAACAGCTTTCAAAGATAAGAATAAGGATTAGGAGGGGAAAGAGACACAGCATCTTAGCCATGGAGCCCAACTCCAGCTCCTGATTCCCAAAGCGGCCTGTGCAGCGGAAGCACAGAGTCCCTGCCCCACCTGGACGTTCTCCCCCAGGTGGCTGGGAGACTTGGTAGTTCTAACAGCTTCGCAGGGGATGCTGGTGCCGCCAGTCTGGGGAACACAATTTGAGAACCACTGCTCTGGGTAAGGAGACCATCCTTTCATTCTCTTCTTTTCATTTTATTTCAAAAAAATTTTTTTTAAATCTCAGTTCTGCTCTGTGCAGTGCTCTGAGGAACCTGTGCACAATTTTGTGTGTGCTTACAATCATTTCCAGGACACACACATACTCCTCTCTCTGGACTTGTTCTAGAACTCACCTGGCTGGAGCGACCTGAATGCACCTTTGTCCGGAACTGAACCTTCAGGACTGACCCCACCCGCCGGGTCCCAGCGCAGGGCTTTGCTTGTTACTGCTTTCCTAACGTGGTCCCTTAAGACTAGGGGTTCGGGACAAGCGGGTGATCCTGCGGGTTTTGCCTTGGTTTTCTCTTCTTAAGAGAAGGCCTGCCTGTGTGTCCCCTGCTCACAGCAAGCAGCACTCTCCACTCTGGCGTCTGGGCCCTACCTCAGGCAGCTTCACTCGGCCTTCCTGGAAGGAGCAAGTCTTGGGGTCGTGGGTGCAGACGTGTCGGTATTTACACCAGTGGCAGCGGAATGGGCTCTCCACACAAGACAGGCACCTGGGCACAGAAGAGGAAGAGGCACAAATCAGAGAACGTGGGTGAACCCAAAATAGAGGTCCTAAACTCTAGGGTCTAGGAAAACATTTTTAGTAGCAAGAGAACCCACCCTCACACACTGAGGAAGGGAAAATCTTACACAAACCCGTCCCTTTTCTCTTCAAGTCCTCAGCCAGCCTAGCATCTCTGGCTTCCTCCCTCTCACTCATGCAGTTTACAAGCCTGGTCCCCAAGGGCCTCACCAACTACCTTCCATTTCTATAGGATGGCACCCGCTTTTGCTGAATTGGGGAACAATAGGGCTTGGGGAGGGGCTTGTCCAGAGAGCCCACGAAATTGAGAGCGAAGGAAGAAATTGAAATTTAGTTCAAATTGGCTCCGGGTTCTCGGCTGACTAGCACCCACATGGACCCACCCTGACAGAAGGAAGTTCTGACTGAGGCTGTCCTCAATGGAATGGAAACCCCACCTCTACCCTTCACCCCCAGGAAACAAAGGCGACTTTATAGAAGTTACTTCCTGCTCAAAACCCCAACATGATTCCCTCTTCCAAAGGGTAAACCCCAAACACCTTGCCTCCCTGGTGTCCAGGTCCATGACCCCACCCGTGCTGGGTGTTTCGGCCATGCCAGGCTCCCTCTGTGCCATCCTTCCACCTGGAGTACCATTTCCCTTCCTCCATGTGGCCACTCCTCCTCCTGTTTTGACCAATGGTCAGACTGGACCCTTACCCCACCAAGCCCTTTGTTTATGTCTCTGGGCAGTCCTGGCCTTGTGTTATAGTTTGTTTACTCACTGTCCAGTCCATCCACTAGTCCAATAGGCATGACTGCTGGAGGGCAGGGATCAAGTCTTTGGGTCTTACTAATTATTGATTACCTGTCTAAAGAGCAACACATTGCCTTGCACATAGTACACGCTTTCACTCACATTGTGGATGGCATGGAAATTCACACAGGATTTATCTACTACTCTGTTATCTTACAGGAGCAAAAGGGGAGTGAGGGATTAGGCCACCAAACGGTGAAGCCATGGGAAGTCCTGAGACAAGAGGCAGACAAAGAACCCGGTGTTGGAACACTTGTTTTTGGCTGGAAGGTCTGGCTGCCTCCTACTAGGGCCCCAAAGAGAGCCACGCTCAGATTCAAAGGCTGCCATAATCAGATGGCTAAACCCTAAAATCCCACTTGTCCCCTAGATGTCTTTGGTTATGTGAAATAGCTTGTCCTATATGAAGAGGGAAATAGAACAGCATTTTAAAACAAGCAGGGTTTTCAAACTGTGCTCAATGGAACCCCAGGGGTTCCACAGAACTTCTTTGGGACTGTGTGAGGAAACAGACATGTGGACTTCCTAAACAGAGGGCTTCAGGCCCCCGCCATGCTCAACCACAGCAGCTCCTACTTATATCTATTATGTTTATTGGGTTTCCACACCTCATTTTGGAGAAAGGTTTCTATGGTGGAAAAAAAATGACTTGTACCTTTTCCAACTCCATCATCTTAGAAAGGAAGTAATAATATAACAGCAAGACTTTGAGCAGTGCCTAAAGAAGGGGTAAGACAGGGTGCTGACTGCTCTCCTGGTCCCAGTTCTTCCAGCCACGGCAGCTGTTCTGTGGGCCAGGCAGGCCGAGGGGCAGGGCAGCAACCAGCACTGTCCCACCAGCAACTGCTCTCCAGGGACAGTGCCCTTGCCATGTTGGCGATTCAACATTTGAGTGACATCCCCAGAAGAACTACTACCTTCCCCTTCCAGAGGACACTAGGGCACAGAGTGGCTACGTTTCCAGCTGGTCTGACTCCGAGCTTGAGCCTCTGCCCCCCACCTGCCCCTGGGAAGGGAGGCTTTACCAAACAGGGCAGAGCCGGGCCCCAGGCCAGAGCCCCCAGCCTGAGTCCTGACCCAGCCTGAGGGCCCTGTGCAGAGCTGGGCAAAAAGTGACTTGTTGGACTACCCACCCTCCCAGACATGGGGCTTCGCTCCCTAATCAGACCCTTCCTCTCACCAGGCTTCAGGTGAGATGTGCCCCCTCCTCAACAGATGGGGGAAGTGTGTCAGGTGAGACAGATTTTTGCCAGAGAAGATGTATGGGCAAGGGGTTAGGAGCTCCTCGCCCAGCAGGGTCTCACTCTGCTCATTCTACTCTCTTTCCATGAACCCGGTGGGTACCAGAGGAGGGGCCTGTCAGCTTCTGGGGGTGAAGGAGGCCCCCCTTGCAGGGTTCCTAGATAGGAGCTCCTTGGGAATGGTGGTAGGTTCTTCTATCTCTGGATGAACCTTCACCCCAGGAACAGGGAGCTGAGTGAGGCTGGGCACTTACGAATTGTGGACGCTGCAGTTGTAGAAGACAAAGCTGGTGCTGGCAAAGGTCATGCCTGTCTCCTTTGACTTGAGCTGCAACTGGACGACATGGTGGTCCCCTGTGGGGCAGAGCCAGCACAAGGTCAGGGGGAGGGCAAGGCCTTGTGTTGGAGTCACACCGACAGTTATGCACCCTGGGAAAGGGGAGCCTGCTGGACCTGAGGGGTGCTCCCTGCTCTAACTGTTATGACTCAGCAGGCCCAGGCCCAGGACACCTCCAAGAGCAGCTGCAGATGATGGTTTTGGTTTATTCCTCCTCCCACACTGTACCTCTGGCTCCCACTCTGCATTTGCTCTCTGTAATGTACACACACATACACACACACTCATGCGCGCGCGCACACACACACGCATATACACAGACACACTCTAACAGGTATTTGAATGTGCATTCATTCACACACATGAGGTCCATGCCAGACTCACGAGCTACATACACATTGATTAGCCACCAGGAGAAATGTGTCACCTCTCACTAATGCTACCACAAACCACGTAAAGGCTTTTCGTGTGTGTGTGTGTGTGTGTGTGTGTCTGCACAGTTGCATCTCTGTGAAGAGAAATCCTGCCCCAATGTCCCTCCTCAGGTGGACTCAGGGCTCCACTCAGACAGGCAGCCCTGGGATCCTCAGCTGGCGCCAGGGAGGAGCTGGAGCCCATGTTTAATTCACAGCCCTGACCCCAGACCCCCACTTCCAGTCTGGTCCTGTGCTTCCCCGAGAGCCTCATTAATCAATCAGCTCGGAACAAATGTGACAAGCCCAAATGGGAGGGCCAAGGTGGAATCAATCTGCCCAGCAGGGTCTGTCCCTCACCAGCGTTGGGCCTCTGTCCACCCCATCCCTCCCAGTGCAGCTGGCCACGAACAGGCAGCTCTGGGAAGGTAGGGCAGGGTGGGGGTGCAGAGACCCAGCAGTGTGGGAAGGGGGCAAGGAGCCAGGTGCCCTCCCCAACCCCTTCCTCCAGTGCTCCTCCAGGACAGCCCTCTCGTGTTCCAGTACAACCTTGAACTTGACCGAATTGCTGCCCTGACACCCACCTTCTGCAGCTGCTCTCACTGAGCATGAGCTTGACTCTTGGATGCTCACCTGGTTTCAATAGTCAATTCCAAGGGCAGTGAATGGCATCTCATCTCTCTCTTCCTGTAACATATCCACCAACCCACGCCCCTTCCTCTGACCCTCCCTTGCTGAAGGCTCCCTCAGCCCCTGCCTCCTGCCCCCTGCCCCCTCCCATATCTGTCCTGGGTTCTCGGGGGGGGGGGGGGGGGGGGGGGGGAGCCATGACACCTAGCCTTGCCTCTGGGGACTGCTCACCATTCTCCGTGATTATCCGGGGCACCTCCTTGGCCGCCGGGGAGTAGCACTGGATCTGATTGCCTACCACCAGCCCATCCATCTCTGACAGGTCCTCAAACGTGCAGTTGACACCAGCTGACAGCTCCGGGACATTGTACGTCTCTAGGACCAGCTGTGAACAGCCCAGCAGAGGAAGAGGAGAATGAAATGGGGAAAAGAAGGGCGTGGCATAAAGGAGGAAAGAGAGAGCCAGAGAGAAAGAAAAGAGAAAAACGTAAGGCAATATTGATAGAGAGAAGAGACCCAATTTATTACAAGAGCATACAGAGAAGGTGGTGGGAGGTAAAGAGAGGGGGTAAAAGAAGCTTCATTACATGTGAATGGATCTGGCCCCAGGGATGCTTCCAGATTTGCATGGGGTAAGAAAGATGGACAGACGGAGCTACCTCTGGTCAAGCTCCTCTTCCATCGTCCCAGAGTTTGGAAAAATGACAATGCCAACCACCAAGTGCCCAGTGCACTAACGCGGGAGCCATCGTACCCCTGTCTCCCTCTGCACACACATCCTTCCCATCCTACAGACAAAGGTACTGTTCCCCTAACCCTCCCTCTCTCGGTCACCCTTTGGATCATGGTTGTAATCACAGTTATCCTTGTCTTCCCGCCCATTATGCACAGAGCCTCTTCCCCAGCTGGGATCAGTATTTCTCTGCCTGCCCCCTCTTCCAGTCCCAGGGACACCTTCTGTGATGTTTCGGTCCTGCTCTCAGACCGCATTGCTGGCCAGTTTGGGCCCAGGCCTCGCGAGGGGCATTGGGCTGCGGCCCTTTCTGGTGGGGAGAGGATTCTTCCCGCATCCCTGGGTCCCGGTCTTACTGTTCTTACCAGGACATTGTACTGAGACACAGAGATGTTGCTGGGATGGACAGTCAGCCGGACACACTGCTTCATCTCAGAGGCAAACCTGTGGGGTTCTCGGGACCGCTCACAGCGCTCCTTCCGGGTACATCTGCAGGAGAGACCAACGAGGGGCTCAGGAGAAGGTGCCTGGTCCAGGGGCTGACACGGAGGTCAATCATCTCCAGTGGCTCCCCAGGCGCATCCAAACTCAACGTACCCAGGACTGGCCCATTTGCTTCCTTCCTCCAGCCTGTCCTCCCCATCATGCCCAAATTTGATAGAGGTGGAAATTCTCATAACCAGTTGCCAAAAGCAAAGACTTGAGAGTCATCCTAAAGTCCCCTCACCTCCTCCACACTCACAGTCCCAAAGCCCCCCCTATTCCACCTCCCCACTCATCCTTGGCCTTGTCACTCTCCCCACTCTTTAGGCAAACTAGACTTGTCTGTCCACTATATAATATACTCTTTCAGACCTCCCTGTCTTGGTGCACGTTAGTTGGTCTGTCTGAGCAGCTCTCTCCCCAATTTCCCCTCGCCCAACATCTATCCACCCTTCCAGGCATGGTTCAACTGTTGTGTACCTGCAACCCCCCACCCCGCCCCACACCAGGCAAAGCTAAAGGCACTTTGGAGTGTCCTACCATCCAGATTTAAATTTCGTAGATTACATGACAATGATTGGGCTGAGTGCAGCCCTCGCCTGCCAAGTGCGAGCTGCTCAAAGAGAGAAACGGCGCCTGACTTCTTTTAGAATCCTCTGTATCTTCATGCCCAGCAGACAGAGGTAAATGCCGGTGGGAGGGAGAGGGAGGGCAGGATCAAAGGAGCAGAGGGCACCAGTTCAATGTGTGCTCTGGAGCCCAGCTGCTTTGGATCGGAATCCCAGCTCCACGGCTGTGTGTGTGTGTGTGTGTGTGTGTGTGTGTGTGCGCGCGCGTGCGGGGCGGGGGGGCGGAGGGTGGGGAGACTGCCACAGAAGGTCTGCTGCTATTGCTTAGTGTCCTGACTGTTCAAAGTGCACTGTGTCACAGGTGGACCCCATCCAGGGTGACCTGGATCTTACAATCTTAACAGATGGGACCTTGTGAATGATGCACATAGCAGTCATGGCCCTCCCCCAAATGCACTGGTCACATGGGGAAGGTGCTTTGGGCTCTCTGCTGGTGCAGGGCATCCTGCCTCCCAGTGGGAGTTCCCTGCAGGGCCGCATCGGAATTCTGGGAACAGCATTTGTCTCAAGCCAGGCCAGCCTTGTGGACGTGCGGCTTCGCTGAGTGGCCAGGATTTGGAAACTCTGGACAACTGACCCTGCTGTGGGGGGAGGGAAAGAAGGTCCTCAGAGAGAACAGCAGGCCGGCACCCCGGGTGCCTAGTCTCCACAGTGAAAGAGAATAGACTCTGCAGAGGGAGGTGGATGTCAGGGCTATTGCAGGGCAGGAGGACACTGGACAAGGGGTTTAGTGGGAAATGAAACATCCAGGAATATAGAACCTGCATGGGAAGGAGACATTGAGGAGAGAACATCTGCTTCTAAAAGCAGACAGGTGAGGTGTGGGGTAAAAGATGAGGACAGACAGGCACCTGGACACCTGAGCTGCTCTCGGGGTGACTCTCAGGCACAGAGGAAAGCTTGGGTGTGAGGTGGGGGTGGGGGGCTCTCCTCCAGCCTCAGACAGGGAGGAAGACACTTGGCCTCAATGAGAAGAAAGGCTTAACAGTGGAGAATCTGAGAGGTGAATTTAGCAAACAAAGGAGAAGTCACTGAATGGGGTGGACTAAAGAAAGAAGGAAAGACACAAGGACAAAAAAGGATGGCTTAGAATAGATGGGATGTGTACTGTGGGAGTAAAAACACAGTTCTAAATAATACAGTCCCCGTTAGAAGTCACCAGGTGCTTATTAGGCACCATGGTAAGGGGCTTTCAATCCATGTCGCTTAAGTCCCTTAATGATGCTGTGAGGTAGGTAAGATTTTAGAAGCACACTTTGTAGATAGAGAAACTGCAGAGAGGATGGTAAGTCACTTGTCCAAGGTCACCAGCTAATTGGAGATCCTGTATGTGAACCCAGATGAACTGGAGTCTGCACTCTTTTTATGTTTGTTTGTTTGTTTTGTTAATCCTCACCTGAGGATATTTTCCCATTCATTTTTAGGGAGAGTGGAAGAGAGAGGGAAAGACAGAGAGAAACATCTACATGAGAGAAATACATCGATTGGTTGCCTCCTGCATAAGGCCTGATCAGGACCCGGGCCAGGGAGGAGCCTGCAACCAAAGTACTTGCCCTAGACCGGAATTGAACCCGGGACCTTTTGGTCTGTAGGCTGATGCTCTATTCATTGAGCCTAACTGGCCAGGGCTGGAGTCTGCCCTCTTAACCACCATGCTTGACCTCCTCGGAGATGCTAGCTAGACTCAGAATTGACGGACAGAGCCCTTGCTGCACACTGAACCCACCTTCCTTGCCAGCTTGATGCTCCTTTCATGTGCTTTGGGCAATTGAAAGTTGCCCTTCAGCCTTCTTCTCCAGGCTGCTCACTGTTTGCCTGCCACTAAGAAGCAGCACTTGGAATATTACCGGGACTTGTAGGTTCTCCAGAACCTTTCAGGACTTCCATCCCAAAAGCGAAAGGTCAGACATGAGCGTGGTTGTCTCCATGGTACCCCCGGGCTGCTCTAGTGGACCCATGGCAACAAGGGCGTCTGCCTAAAAGTGTTGGAAGTTAATTTACCAGGCCAGCTTCTCAGGGAGGACTTCATTACCTCCAGCCATTAAGCTAATGTTATGGACTTTTCCAGGGTGTCTGCACTGACATCGCTATTAACAGTGTTATTACTCCCATTAGCGGCAGGCTAGGAGAGCTGGTACAGGCTTAAATTATTCACCGACTCCCCAACTTTGAAGTTCTTATTTCCAAGAGCAATCAGTAGGTCTGAAAAATGCCTTTGATTAAATTATGAAGAGAGAAAAAAAATAAGGCTGCTTTCAGGCCAAACAACACCTGGACTGACCAAATAGAGCTCCAGACCTCTCTTTCAGAGGTACAAAGAAACCTGGCCGGGGGACCTCAAGACAAGTTCTACTGGCATGACTTGTGGCTCCCCAAGTTCACGTGGCTGAATCCTGCCATGCTCCTGGGAACCCCAAATGAATACTCATCATCTCCCCCAGATTTAGGTCTCCAGGGCAGCCACCTATAGCTTACACTTTGCAACATCCCATCCTAACCTCTCGGTGCCTTGGTTTTCCCCTGTAAAATGGGGAAAAAACAGTATCTACCTATGAGAGTTCATGTAAGGCTTGAAAGATTAAGCAAGTACAGCATTGAGAACAGGGCATAGCTCATACATAAGGAGCCCACAATTAGTGTTAGTTAGTATTATTATCCCATCTCTTCTTTCTCATCCATCCCTACCAATCTTTTCCCAGACTTGGCCACGGGGCAAACCAAAGACAGAAAGACAGCGGATAACTATAGCAGTTTCCTTCTTAATGAGGGAGAAGGAGCCCCAGAGCTCAGGAGGGAGGGAAGCGAGAGAGGGTGGGCTGGGCTGTAGATCTGCCTTCTTGCCAGCTGCCACAGGGTATCAGGAACTCAGCTCTCAGTGGAAAGACAAGTTTAGGTCAGTGCCAGGGATGCTTTGACATTTCTACTATCCCTTAGTGCCCATGATGGTGGAGGCTGCAAATGTCCAAGAGCACAGGCAATTGACCTTGGATGTGACAGGATAATGGGAAGGAGGGGATGGATTTCTTCTGAGGTCCATGGGGTCTGTCAGGGGAATGGCCTGCTGCTCTTCCAGGACCGATTTCTCATTAGCCAGGCGAGAGCGAGGACATGTGTAGAGGGTAACTCATGGTTCTTGGGGTCAGCTTAGATGTCATCTTGAACAGGACCCCCTACATATTCCCTTCCGTTCCGCTGTGGGAGCACCCTGAAGGTCAGGGAAGATGCAGAGTCACCTATTTTCCAGGCGTGACAAAAATGTCATAAGGATGCAAAAAGTGCATGCTATCTATGACTTTGAGTTTTCAGATATTCAGTCCTGCCACCACCACTGTCACCCCACTCCACACACAGACCCACAGATGACATGCAGAAAGCAGGCCCCAAGAGGACACCGGGCCCCCAGGATTGGAGTCTGGCCCTGCCAACCTTCTCTTATCTCCCTTCGTCATTCCACTTTCTCTGCATAATCTTTCCAGCCCCAGTTCATAGGTGCGACAAGCCCTTGGGGACAATGGCCCTGGTCCCTCGGAGGAGCTATTATTCAAGTCAGTGGTTCCAATGAGATTATCCTCTCTAATGAAGCAGCTGCCTCCACCCTCCCCTAAGCCCGAACTTGCACTGCTGGGGAATTCCCAGCCAAGTGGAAAATTAGAAGGGCAAGGGATGGAGAAGGAAGGGGGTGAGGAGAGGGAAAGAAGTGGCGATTAAGTTCTCCAGAAATTGATTCCTAAATACAATCATAGAGATATTAACTCCCAGTGCTGCCGACCAAGCAAGTGAATTTCAATTTGGAAACGGGGCTCTCTGTGAGTCCAGCCTGGGCCACCCCCTCACCCCATCCTCTGGCATGGGTCCACCAGTCTGGCTTACCAGAACCTGCTCCTTGCTTCTCCCCACAGGTGACCCCTAAACCTTAGCATTTCATGTTGGTCAGGGCCTGTGCAGAAAGTTGGCCATTGGTGGGTCGGTGTTTAGACCATGAAGTGTTTGAGCTTCATGGAAAGTTAAGAGGACTTGGAACATTTACTCAAGTAGGAGATCCCAGGGCTCTTTGGTCATTGTCTCCACATCTGGGAACCCTGATGAGGAAGGAGACCAGGTTTCCTAAGATCACCGTCCTTGCTCTCCTCAGGAACTCCCACAGAAACAGGACGGGCATCTGAGCTCCCAGAGGAAGCGGACCAGATAGTGAAGGGAACCTTTCTAGGCAGATGGTGTGTAGGTTTCTTATATGAAGGGTGTGGACCAGGTAAGTCCCTTCAATGCCATGATTCTAGAATCCAGTGACTGATTCCACGATTTCAACCTAACTATTTAGTTTGTTTCTGGATAAACCCCCAAACACGAAGACCACAATTAGACTATAATTTTCCCTCT